ACATTTAACATGTTAGCATTGAAGCTATTGACGAGCTCATTGACTGACCCTCTGGACAGGTCAGGTGTTAATGGGAAGACCTGGTTAAAGATCTCACTAGTGTCTTCAGTTATACACCGTTTTGTGATCACTGCTGTTGATATATTTATGTGGGCTGAGATTTTACTTTCAAAGAAAAAGGGCGTTTACTGATGGTGCTGGGTGGGAGCAGGCTTTCACTGAGCATGTGCAATAGGAACAGGCTGGTGTGCGTGTAACGTTCGCAGAAGGATGCGTGCGGGCCTGGTCCCAGGCCTCTGATGAGGAGGGGGCCGGACCTCTGTGACGTCCTGACGAGTGTCGCTTTGCTTCCTCTCAGACTCATCCTCATCTCGCTGCTCTTCTCGCTCGGACTCGGTGCTCAGCAGCTGTCGCTGTCGGGGATGTACGGCAGCCTGTGCTCACCAAACTTCCCGGAGCCGTATCCCCGGGACATGCAGCTGCGCTGGAACGTCAGCGTTCCTGACGGCTTCCAGATCAAGCTCTACTTCAGCCACTTCGACCTGGAGCCGTCTTACCTGTGCGAGTACGACTACGTCAAGGTGAGACACAGGATGCCAGTTTTTGGTGTGTGTGTGTGTGTGTTTGCGCGCCACAGTGATGTCACAAACTATGGTTCTCTGTCTGCAGGTGGAGGCTGAGGGGGAGGTGCTGGCGCTGTTCTGTGGGAAGGAGCAGACGGACACGGAGGCGGTGCCGGCTCAGCAGGCCCTCACTTCCCCCAGAAACTCCCTCAGCCTCCTCTTCTCCTCTGACTTCTCCGACGAGGAGCGGTTCTCCGGGTTCGTGGCTCACTACAGCGCCGTGGGTAAGAACCAGACCCAGCCCGCCCGAGCAGACGGGTTCGGTCTCTCGCCATGACGTCTCCTCTGGAGCCGGAGTTTGGACCTTCAGGTGTTCATCGGAGTTCTGCTCGGTGCTGGTCTGAAGGTGGGACCGAGCAGAACTCTGACGAGCAGTGAGCGAGTCTGCGGACTTCCTGTTTCAGTGCGACTCAGTTTCAGAGGTCACCTGACAAAAAGGCGCAGTTTGTTTGCGTTTCTCATCTGATGCTTGTTTCCTGTCTCCTCTGGTCCCGCCTCTGGCCCCGCCCCTCTAGACATAGACGAGTGCAGCGAGCGGAGTGGCGAGGACGCGCTCTGCGATCATTTCTGCCACAACTACATCGGAGGATACTACTGCTCCTGTCGCTATGGTTACCGGCTGCACTCTGACAACCACACCTGCAGAGGTGAGCGCAGACATCGGCTCGGGTGTCATAATCCACAGCACCCACAGCTGATTGCTCGCGTTCATCCACAAGTACAGTAGCGTGCGCTGCGGGGCTCTGCTTTCCAAAGATATGAGCCCCACATGAACCACAGGTGGGGGAGGAATGTGTGGGTCCTCACGTGTCCTGACAGATCAGCGCTGTGGACCGTGACCCCGCTGTGACTGATAGTGGCGCCTGATCGGTGGTAAATATTTGCGTGTTTCTGTGTGGGGGAGGCAGGCTCTGTCTGAGTTCTGCCTGTGCGTGTTCACGTCTGAGGGTTTGCTACAGAGCGACGACCTCTCGGTGACCTCTGACTGATTACAGAACCATTATAACACAACACACTGAGTGTGCAAAAGTCTTGAGTCTCACCTCTTTTCTTTGCTTCTGGTTAGCCACGCCCCTTTAATGTCTCATATTTTTTCCCCTCCCAAACATGGATGCAACAAATATGATACAAAACGCAGATATACAAATGAGTATTTAATCCACTGTGATCGTTCAGGAACATCTGGAAACATCTGACTATCAGCACGACAACAGTGCAAACACAAAGCTGTGCATTAAAGCACAGCTGGATAGAAACACACAAGCCTGTGAGAGCCGAACATCAGTGTGGGAAGAGCTCTGAGTGTCCTTCAGGAAGCCTGCAGATCCTCAGAGAGCAAATATATAAACTCAGTTTTTGACTCTGCTTTTCTGTGTGTGTGTGTGTGTGTGTGTGTGTGTGTGTGTGTGTGTGTGTGTGTGTGTGTGTGTGTGTGTGCTAAAATGCACTACTGTAAATGATGTATAGACAATCATTCTGTACAATAAAATAATTATAGTTCTACAACTGTTTATTAATAGTAGCAATTGTATCTCTACAATCTCAAATAGTTTTCATATTTTAACCATATTTATATCCTGTTCATAGCTTGTACACTCACTGCAGCCAGTACATACTTATAGCATATTCATAACATGCCTTCATACCGTGTACATTGTAACATACCTATAATAGATCCATATTTTGTAATATATCAATATTATTGCCAAAGCACTTTCTGGATGGATGCAAACTGCATTTCTGTTGTCTTGCACTTGTGACGTGTGCAATCACAGTAAAGTTGAATTCTATTCTGTTCAGTGGAGTGCAGCAGCGATGTGTTCAGGGAACGCTCCGGAGTTCTGAGCAGCATTGACTTCCCTGCTCCGTACCCAAAGAGCTGCGAGTGCTTGTACCGCATCGAGGTGGAGGATGGCTTCAGGCTCCGCCTCCAGTTTGACTCACACTTTGATGTGGAGGATCACCCTGACGTCAGCTGTCCCTATGACTACATTAAGGTGAAGAAAACACACACACAGACACACACTCGGGTGACGTGTTGGAGCTGTTAATCAGCTGTTTTCCTGTCAGATTAAAGCAGGAAGTGCTGTGTTCGGTCCGTTCTGCGGCGATCGATCTCCAGGAGTCATTCAGACCGACAGCAACGTGGCCTCCATCGTGTTCCACAGCGATAGCTCTGGAGAAAACCTCGGCTGGAGGCTCGGCTACACGGCTACAGGTGAGTCCATGTCCAGGTGCTGCAAACAGACACACAGCTGGGAGTTATAGCTTTTATTGTCTCCTGACAGGAAGTCAATGTCCCGTGCCCAATACTCCGCCCAACGCCCTGATGAACCCCTTCCAATCAGAATACTTCTTTAAAGACCACATCCTGTTCACCTGTGAGCCTGGATACCACCTGCTGAAGGTAGGGGGCGTGTCACATCAGCTGAGTTTGGTCAACCCAAATGATGTTTAGTTTGTTTCAAAAACAGCGGCGCTGCGCACGTGAAGGAATGGGCCAGCGCACTGGCGTCCGTTTGACAGATTGAACTGTCAAACGGATCGGTCACGCAGAGCGCGAACGCGGCGTGCGTCCGAGCTATGCGCCACAGGTGTAGATCAGCTGTGCAGGTCACATGGTCTGCAGTGATGCTGCTTGTTGCTAACCTGGCTGCGCTGTCTCTGCTCAGGACGGAGGTCACCTGGATCACTATCAGATCGACTGCCGGGCCGATGGATCATGGAGCGACCGTCCTCCTCCGTGCCACAGTAAGACTGCTCGACCTTTGACCTCTCCAGAGTGTTTGTGTTTCAGTGTCTCCCGTGTTTGAGTCTGGGTTACTGCTGCTGCAACCTGTTTCCTGGAGCACACACGCCACCTGCTGGCTCTCTGCAGACTCTACAGGAGCGTCACAGTAGTGCTAGTTAGGCTTTCGTTTAGTAAACCTGAAGCTCCGCCTTTTCTGATGCTCTGTTAGTACAGTAGTGACCTCACAGCAGCCATGTTATTGGTCAAATGATGTCATTAAAAGGCTCCAACAGCACAAACACGGCCCACGGGTCCAGCTCAGGTGAAGTTAGTAGCTACAGCCACCTGTGTCACCATCCACATGTCAGTCGCAGAGGCCACGCCCCTAATAATGCAAACAGGTGAGTTACGACTGACATGTTTATTTTACCACCGCGGGGAGGGGGGGGACTGGCTGACCAGGCCGGTCGTGCTGTGGTAGGCAGGCACCGCCGTGGCGCCCTGCAGATCAGTTTTGAGACTGACAGGTAGCTGTCTGTGCAGGTGCTGAGAGACAGTTCAGGTCTGCTCACACACTTTCCTCTCGCTCTCGTTTCTCTGCAGACTCCAGGAGGAAGCCAAGCTCTCTGTCCAGCATCCGGACCAATCACAGCCTAGCTTAATGAGCAAGCCAGTCTCATTGGCTGATAAAGATACTGCAGGAGCGAACAGTGTTGATGTGTCTGTATTTTCCAATAAAGCGTAAAACCAGAAGCTTCTGTCGTGTGTCTGTGACTCACATTCAGGGATCGCGGCGCTGATGTGTTTCTGTCACACATGTTCGAGTTCTTTGTCTCGATGCGTGTTCCCGTGACGCCCCCTTCAAGACACGCTGACTCTTCAGCCTGTCGGGTCTCACGTTACGTTGAGATGAGTTTCAGATTAAAACCACGTCACACTCACGTGTCTGGATCATTGGAACACGTCAGTTCTGATTCGTTGTCGCTGTCGGTCAGCTGTAGTTTGGTTCTGGCTCATTCTTCCTCCTTTCTGCTCAGACTCAAAGCTGATTGGTGTTTTTGTCCTGTCTGTCACAGTGGTGGATTGTGGGAGTCCAAAGATGGTCGACATGGCTGACGTGGTGTTTGGTAACCATGACAACAGCACACTGTTCGGTGCGACCGTTCAGTACGTGTGCAGGGAGGGCGGCGTCCAGCTTAACAGTAAGAGGTCTTCCTGTTTGGTTTCCTTCAGTGGTTGCTGTGCAGTGACAGCTCATCCGATTATTGGCTGAACCTTGTTGTTCCTCGAGCTCTGTGTCTGGTTGTAGTAAGGAAATGTTTTTATTCATTTTTATTATTTTGTTCTCATCTTTGGGCAATTTGCTCCTCATCTGTTTTTAAACATGTTGATAAAAACTGGACCTGCTATTGATAACCAGAGGCCTCCTCACACTCCGGTTACTGTTTGTAGCTTCATACAGGTGTGGTCTGAGTGGAGACTGGGTTGATTCAGAAGGAAGGAGCACAGTACCCACCTGTCTGCCAAGTACCTGCCCGTCTGCCTGTTCACCTGTCTGTCTGTTAACCCGTCTGCCTGTTCACCTGTCTGTCTGATAACCTGTCTGCCTGTTCACCTGTCTGTCTGTTCACCTGTCTG